CCTTCTATCACAATTTGTCTCAAATCTCGCCCCCCCCCCCAATCTAAAGTTCGTCACACTTTCAAACTGAACTAAAAAAAAATTGTTCTTTAATTAAATTGTTAGAACATTTTTTAAAAAATTAATAAATAATTAAAATTTAATCTACAACCCACTTCACGAAAAACTATTAAATTTATAAAAGTGACACCAGCTGCCAGAAATAATTCATCCTCTAACAGAAAGTTAAACATCACTGTCAATTTCAGGCTTTATTCGCGTCGTAAAAAATGTGCGATGTCACATATGATGTTTATACCCTCCTTCACCCGCCATTAACTGTCACGTTTTCCTAAAGACCCCACCCGCCCCCTTTTTCCAGAGCGTGACACCTAATGCCCGTATGGAGCATCAGACCCTAATTCGTGGTCTAAGACGCGATTGAGCAAATTTGAAAAAAAACAACACTAAATGGGCCCGTTTAATTTACTCATTTGTAGACAGTGCAGGTTACGCAGTAATAAACTTAAACCTAATCTAAGCATTCTTTAGATATAATGTTATATCCACTAAAACCAATATCATTCCGCTCACACAACTGCCCGTTTTTTTTAAAAACAACAACATGTAAGTGACTTATATTCGCATGTCTGCGCCAACATTTAACCCTTACCCCAGTTAACATCCTCCTGAATTTCCCCCCTCGTCCTGTTGACCTACTATTTTTTCCGTAACGTCTTTGTCTTAATTCTGTGCAAGATCCGGGAGCGAGCGTCTATTTAAATGACGGTAGACTTGTACAGACATTTCCAGCCGAAATCTTCACATGAAGAACTGAGCAAGGGGAAACAGTTGGTGGAAATTCATTGCTATCTACAAATCTAAGACGTTTTACGTTGCCAAAAGGTAAGATTTTCTCGAACACTTTTCAAGTGTAAAATATGATGTTTCTGAACGCGATATACGTTAAAAAGCAGTTTAAAAAAAAAAAAATTAAACTAGTCTATACACGGAGGTTTACAGATAATCGATAATCCACCTAATCTGGCATTCTGTCGAATATCGTAATCGCTTTTAGACCGATTAATAGGCTAATAGGCAGTTGTGGGTGGGAATCGGTCTCTCCAAAGAGGAATACGTTTCAATAGTTGAGTAGTGATTACTCTCATTTGTGTTAGTTGTCTTACTTAATGGGAACCTTGTTTAAAAAAGTTGGCAGAATAATGCCGAAATTTTTTTTGTTTGTTAATGAAATATTATTAAACAATATAAAACAATCTAAAGCATTCCAATGACTAAAATGTAACATCGAACTCAAGCATATTTATTATTTATTTGTATACATATTTTCAGGCCGAACGATGCCTTTCAGTCACTCGTCTCCAATTTTGGCACTAGTGGCGCTGGTGATGGCGGCTTTTCTCCGGCACGGCACAGATGCCGAGGTCCACTGCTCGAATCCACCACCGGGAATCCAGAAAATGACTAGAGGCGTGGACATTACCAAGCTTGACCTAGTTCCTGTCGACGTCATTGGCACCAATGGTTTTAAGAGCCCGATCATTAATTTCTCTTGCAGCAGAAATCGAACTTGGAGAAGTCCAGACGGGCAAGATTATCAACTTCCTGATCAGGTGAGACACATTAAAAAGAATGTATTGTACATACATCTTTTAAAGTTTTCTGTTGGTATGTTGATTGAAACTTTATTTTTCTTTTGAGCTCAAAGGGTTTTCCCAATATATTTGTTAATTCTTCTATAACATTTTACTTTATTTTATAAGCCACAAGTTTGGTTTATAATTTTTATGTAAAATATAATATTTTAAAAAAATATTTAAAAATGAAGTCCATTTCGTTTCCAATTTTAAAGGCATTGTTACTTTTATATGGGGTGCGAGACAGGGTCAAATGATTCGTACAGGTGGGTGCGAGACAGAGTCAAGCGATTCGTATAGGGGGGTGCGAGGCTCAATCAAACAATTCATATAGGGGTTTAGAATATAGACACGCTTATCAAATGCCATGTGTTAACTTATTACGCAGAGTCATCCAGTCTATTTGCTCCAGCTGAGCACCTAAACCGGTTTAATGCCCCCTCCCGTGAATCCTTTAGTGAGAGCTAACAAAGGAAAGGTCACCATGATGCAGCCAGGAAGATTTAATTTCAATTTTGTGTTTTTTTTTTAAATACCTACATTCAACGTTATGCGATAAAGCAATACGTTGCAAATTAATAAATAGTCCCTTGTCTTAAAAAAAATTAACCCCACCCCTTCTCCTCTCTTTGAAAGGTTAATACGTTTCCTACCTCCGCAACAAACTATCCCAATAATCTTCAATTTTCCCCCTGTTCGGAGCGCACGTCCCATTGCTATAAAGTTTAAATTCCAAGTATAAATGCAGTATGGATCTCAAGTAAAAACAGTTTTTTAAAAAGAGGATGCGGCTTTTAAGGTCGGATTTACAATACGTTATTATTATCAGTAGTTATATTTTTTTTTCCATAGTTATTGTTTGGGACCCCTGTTTCTATGGACTCGAAAATGTAGTTCGTTGGCTCAGTTATAGTCTAGAGGTTACAAGTCTCGTCAGAATTAAAAACAGCAACAACACTTTAGCTTAAATACTTCACACAGCTCTTTATTCCCAACACTGCTCTCCCCCACCTCCTTCCTTCGGTTATCACTCTACATGCTAACCGCTGATCCATATATGTTGCCATAGAAACAAAACATCATCTCTCATGCCCCCCCCCCTAAAAAAACGCCACCAATCCAAACCCCATACCATCAGCTACTCACTAAATCTCTATCCCAAATACGCTCAATAATAAATCAAAGTATTACAAAAGACAAACCAAAAAAGAACACACACAATCATGGAACAAATTATTAACAATCATGAAAAAATTATGCAACCATGGATATCAACGCTGTACTGCAAATTTTATAACATGATGATAACATCCGATAATCATGGGCGGATCCTTAAAAAAAAAAAATTAAAAACATCCATGCAAATTTTACTAAAACGATTTTTAAGAATAATTTTATGCTTGTTTACAGATTTGGCAAATGACCACAGTACCAGGTGGATGGCTCTCGGCCGAGACCAAGTTGTACAAAAATTATAACGATGTCCGCCGATCAATGACGACTGAGGTGGGAGGCGAGGGCGCCATCTGGAAATTCGCCTTCTCCGGGAGCCACTCCTACAAGAAGATGCAGAACGCCATCACCAACACGTCCAGGTACGTGTCCGACATCGCATCGTTTGAGTCGGCTGTCCGTGCGGACGTCATCCCGTCCTGGATCCTTGAAGTCGATACATTCGCCCAGATGTTCATTGATCGCATGATTACCGGAGACTACGAGACGAATCCGAGATCTTACAACAGGTTCATCAACCAGTTCGGCACGCACTACTTCTCGACGGCCAATTTCGGAGGGTACATCAAAGTTGTGTCGGAAACAACGATGGACTATCTGTACTCGAGGTCAGAGAGTGAGGCCAAGGCCAACGCCAAGGCCTCTTTTCTGAAGATCATTTCCGTCCACGGAGGTCAGGTGTCGGGCTCAACAACTGTCGACGAACGATTTACAAGCGCGTCCACGCAATCTATCCGATACTATGGCGGTGATACGAACCTCTTGACGCAGAATGGAATCCAACAGTGGCAGCCGACGGTGGCTAGGAACCCGTGGTTGTTTTCCGGAGAACTGAAACCTATCAGTGACCTCATCACCGATGAGACCAAGAACGCAGGCATGATCAGAGCTGTGGAAAACTATGTCATGAGGAATTACCTGGAAGAGCTGGAGCGGCTGATCATCACGGCTAGAACGAAATCCAACGATGCAGTACTCCCTGCACTTCAGACGAGGATCACGGAGCTTAAGGGCGGGGCCGCACTTAATGAGGGCGCGGTGGACGCGCTGAGCAACGATGTCGAGGCGAATTTGATTGTCCCCGAGTGGTTTACGTCCAACACGAAGCTCTGCTATAAATGGAGAGCCGATGGGGACGCTGGTCAGTGTGGCGGAGGGGCGGCGAACCTGCTATGCGCCAAGCCCAACGCCATGACTCCCGAGTACAGGGACGACACCGACAGCAGAAGCGGCGGCTGTCAAATGCAGTGGGGAATCCAGTCCATGGGGTTCCCGTCGTGGTTCAGTCAGGTGCGGGTGTGCTACCAGTGGTACCCCGATGGCGACGGGGGTCAGTGTGGGGGACCCTCGCGCCTGCTCTGCGCAGGTTTGAACGACTTCTCCCCAGAATACAGAGACGACACAGACCGCAGGAGTGGTGGCTGCAGAATGTCCTGGAAGATTGAAGTGCCCAGCTCCGCCCCTCTCTGGTTGAGGACTGCAAAGATGTGTTTCTCGTGGTACCCGGATGGAGATGGTGGTCAGTGCGGTCCAGCGCCGTCTCGAAATCTTTGTGCAGTGGCCAATCAGTGGACCGATTACTATCGTGATGACACGGACAGACGGTCTGGTGGCTGCAGAATGAGCTGGGGTATTAAGACAATCTTTTAGAACCGTAACTGCTACTTATATAATATGGGGGCCATGCATATATGACGTCACGCTTTTGGTCAAATTTTAAACACCCCGCCCCCTCTTCCATGTCCTAAATTTGTCACACAATTTAGTCACCATAATAATTAATCGTTCCAAATTCGTGACCCCCCCCCACCCCCCAGAGTGGCTCTATAAACATTATATTACAACTTTGGTTTAGAGATTAGTGCGTTGAATTTATTTTCTAGTGTACACTAAATTCTCATTGTTCAAATACATGACTATATTACTTGTAGAGCTTATATCTGAAATAAAACCGTTACAAAATTTAATAATTCTCTATGTTATTGTTTATACATGTTTCTGGCATGCAGAATATTGTGACTGCTTGCTGCAGAGTCGGAATTGAAATTTGGAGTGACGTGTTGACTTCTCTAAAGTCGTTTGAAAATCATCTATAAATAGAATTATAGGCAACATTTGACAGAGTTAACCTGAAAAAAAAAATGTTTTTAATTGTTACCATTGCATTTCTTATTTACATCCCTAAAGTATAATTATACCTTTAGATGTCATCTAAGCCTTGTCATTTCTTTTAAAAATTCATCTTCTGATAACTCGTCATAGAAAGAAGTTAATTTTGGAACGGGCACCAATAACTCCTCTTCACTTGTTGATAGTCGACGAGTTGAACAGTGACAACGCTTCTCGCTCAGGAACAATCTCAAGGCTTCTAGGTTGGGCACCTCTTTGTCAAGAGTACAGCCTTTAGTCTGCAGATACTTCAGTGTAAGAATAACTTCTTCAGTGTAAGAATAACTTCTTCAGTGTAAGAATAACTTCATCAAGTAGATCAGTCGAAAGTTAAAGGTAGCAGATAAACGTTAAATCACAGACAGCATGTAAAAGACCGAATGGAAAGCGTGCTCATATGTAAAAATGGGGGGGGGGGGGGGGCTAATTTGTGAGCATTTCTGAGTTTCGATATATTTGGTTTAAAAACCCTTGTTTAAAAATTATTTAAATTGACTATTAAAATAATTTTTTAATTTCTATTTTAAATTTCATAAGTTTTTATTCTTGTAGTTAGAATTGCCAGACCATATCGAATTTGGTGTCAATGGAAAGCTTTATTTTCCAGAACTTACATAAATATAGCTTCTTATCACTTAAGAAAGTTACCGAACACTTCAATCGGCGTTTAATGATGGTCAAAACGATGTTTTTCTGACATAATTATATGGTCACCTCATTTCTGACGCATCAATCGTATGAACTTTTAATATAAATCACCCTTTTGAGTTGGTTACACGTGTGGAAAATTTACGTGTGATCGGTTATTCTTTTATGAAATTTCGTTAGAACCGAGCAGTGTGTGCTCTGTTAATTTGCAATTTTTCAATTTGGTGTCACCCCTTGGGATGCTGTCCCCCGGTGCGGTCCACACATCCCTATTAGGCCACTGCATATATGTGCTTTAATAGCAGGGACGTAACTTTTAACAAGCATGTCCCCAATGTTCTTGTCAAAGAGGATTATTAAGTGTTAAAACAAGACTGAAATGGACACCCCCCCCCCCAATCTATACATGGACATATAAATCAATAACGTCATAATTTATTAATTACTTTCAAACATACTTGCAAATATATTAAAAGGAGAACTGGTAATTCTGTAAAAGATAATAAAAACATTAATACTCATATTATATAAACAATGAAACAATATACATAAGCAATGAATTTAGTGTTAGGTTGATTACAAGCTTTTTACATTTGTTATTATATTTGAGATGTTATGACATCTATATATATAATTCGCTAGCAAAGGTCGAACACCAACACCACGCAAGCTATATACAGATAATGAGTTTATCTATCTATATAATTCGCTAGCAAAGGTCAAACACCACCACCACGCAGGCTATATACAGATAATGAGTTTATCTATCTATATAATTTGCTAGCAAAGGTCAAACACCACCACCACGCAGGCTATAATATACAGATAATGAGTTTATCTATCTATATAATTCGCTAGCAAAGGTCAAACACCACCACCACGCAGGCTATATACAGATAATGAGTTTATCTATCTATATAATTTGCTAGCAAAGGTCAAACACCACCACCATGCAGGCTATAATATACAGATAATGAGTTTATCTATCTATATAATTTGCCAGCAAAGGTCAAACACCACCACCACACAGGCTAGCGCGCAAAATATAATTCCTGATAACTACGCTAAATCACTAATATTTTTTTAATAACGCAACTTCGTTTGGTGCGCAGTGGCGTAGTTAGGCAGGTGCGAGGGTGCGGGCTGCACCGGGTGACACCATCTGAGGGGGTGACACCAAATTGAAAAAAAAATGCATATCTACAGAGCACACACTGCTTGGTCTAACACAGTGGTCCCCAAACGAATATGGATGCGAATATTTCTAAATCACCAGCCGCCCTAGTAACAATGGCGGGAATTGTGACGTAGCCAGGGTCAGGGCCATCCAGGGTGGTCCAAACCAATGTTGTTAGTTCCACAAGGGATGCATCTGGTGTGGATCAACAATAACAGGAAAGTAATTTGCAGTTTTCATGTCCTCCAAAAAGTATTGCTTTACAAGTGAGGAAAATTTAACAATTAACTTGCTGGAGAATCGGCACTGACACAATGTTTTTGAAGTCGTTTCTCAATTTCCTTGTGACTATCTAGCTTGCCTCGTGGGAGATGCTGATCTTCTATCGAGCGCCTCCCCAGCCGGCGGATAGGGGAAAGCCCGCCAGATATGGAGGGTACCGGGGAAATAAAATACCCGGGGCGGACCAAAATCAGCCCTACTGCCTTGTAGGAAGTGGAGGGATCCACAAAGGCTAGGGACCTAACCCGAACAAAGGCAGCTACCCATTGAGCTGTGAGGGGCAACCCCCCAAGTGGTTGTGCGCAAGGCCAACAACCCTGCCATGTAAAAAATCATAGTTACAAAAGCACCGAAAAGAGTAACAAAAGACATTTCAGTCCTGGGAGAGGATGGATTCCTTGAGGAGGAAAATATGACGCCTAATAGTGAAAGCCGAAACCTGGAAGCTATTAAGCCGACAACCATCATCTCTACCAGGACTACCACCGTCATTGGCGCTTGGAATGTCCGCACCATGTACGAGGCTGGTAAAGCGGCACAAATAGCCGCTGAGATGAGGAGCTATAAGCTCACCATTCTCGGAATTAGTGAAGCAAGATGGACTGGATGGGGACAGAAGAGATTAATCTCAGGAGAGATGGTGATATTTTCGGGACACGAAGAAGACAATGCCCCACATACCCTGGGTGTTGCTATGATGCTATCAAGGGCAGCACAAGGAGCACTCATTGGATGGGAGGCCCATGGACCTAGAATTCTTTTAGCAACCTTTCGAACAAAGAAACGTAGCATCAACCTAGATGTTATACAATGCTACGCACCAACTAATGAAAGTGATGAAGGAGACAAAGAAGAATTCTACAATAGAGTAATGACCATAGTCCAGGATCGCCCACGGAGGAACATCGTCATCCTCATGGGAGACTTTAATGCCAAGATCGGCAATAGCAACACAGGGTACGAAGAGGTTATGGGACAGCAAGGGATAGGCGAGATGAACGACAATGGTGAGAGGTTTGCGGACCTATGTGCCACAGCTGACCTGGTCATAGGGGGGAGCATTTTCCAGCACAAGAGGATTCACAAAGCTACATGGGTCTCTCCGGACATGAGAACGATGAACCAAATAGACCATGTATGTATTTGTAAAAAATTCAGGCGATCTCTCCAAGACGTACGTGTTAAGAGGGGAGCTGATATTGCCTCAGATCATCATCTTCTTGTGGCCAGGATGAAATTAAAACTAAAGAGACATTATACCGAGCAAACAGCATACAGGACTCGGTATAATACCTCCCTCCTGAAGGACCAAGCCAAAAAGGAAGAATTCAGAATCTCACTATTCAATAAGTTCCAAGTCCTACAAGAAATACTTGAAGATGAAACCACCGAAGGAAAGTGGCAAAGCATGAAAGAAACAGTCCAGTCAACATGTCAAGAAGTGCTAGGAAACAGGAAAAAGGCACACAAAGAATGGATGACAGCAGGTACGCTGAATAAAATAGAAGAAAGGAAAAGAAAGAAATCAGAAGTGAATAACAGCCGCACCCGAGCACAGAAAAACAAGTCCCAGAAGGAGTATGCAGATGCAAATAAGGAAGTTAAGAAAAGCATCAAGAGAGACAAGAAGGAATTTGTTGATAATCTTGCTAAAGAAGCAGAGGATGCAGCTCACCAGGGGAACATGAGGGAACTGTTTGATACCATTAAGACGCTGTCAGGGAAATTTAGCAAGGTAGAGAGACCAGTGAAGGACAAAATGGGAAACACCATACCAAGTGAGGAGCAACAGAGAGGGAGATGGAAGGAGCACTTTGAAGAGCTCCTGAACAGGCCTGAACCAAGAAATCCACCAGATATCCAACCAGCCGATAATGACCTGCTAATTGACTGTAATAGTCCCACCAAAGAAGAGATTAGCAGGGCCATTAAACAACTCAGAAATGGAAAGGCTGCGGGACCTGATGGCATCCCAGCAGAGGCACTGAAGGCGGACCTGGAAACCAGTGTGGAAATGCTACACACTCTGTTTATGAAGATATGGGAAGAGGAGCAAGTTCCTTCCGATTGGAAAGAGGGATACCTTATCAAGATCCCAAAGAAGGGAGACTTAAGCTCCTGCTCGAACTACAGAGGGATCACCCTGCTGTCCATCCCAGGAAAGGTTTTCAACCGTGTACTACTTAACAGGATGAAAAACGCTGTAGACCCTCTGTTGCGGGACGAACAAGCCGGCTTTCGCACCAACAGATCCTGCACGGACCAGATAGCGACACTGCGCATCATTCTAGAGCAGTCACTAGAGTGGAACTCGCCGCTCTATGTCAACTTTGTTGACTATGAAAAAGCCTTCGACAGTGTTGACAGGCAAACCCTGTGGAGATTGCTAAGGCATTACGGGGTGCCACAGAAGATTACTGATATAATCAGAAACATGTACGAAGGGATAAACTGCCGAGTTATCCATGGCCAGCAGTTGACAGATGCTTTCCAGGTGAAGACTGGTGTGAGACAAGGTTGCTTGCTGTCACCATTCCTCTTCCTGTTAGCCATTGACTGGGTGATGAAAACATCTACACAGCAGAAAAGAAATGGCATCCAATGGACCTTGTGGGATCAACTGGATGATCTTGACTTTGCTGATGATCTTGCACTTCTTGCACATACCCAACAACAGATGCAGGAGAAAACAAACACTGTCGCAGCCACTTCTGCTAGCATGGGTCTCAACATCCACAAAGGGAAGAGTAAAATCCTCAAGGTTAATGCCACCAGTACATCACCCATTATGCTTGAAGGAGAAGCCCTTGAGGAGGTGGACAGTTTTGTTTACCTTGGCAGCATGGTAGATAAACAAGGTGGTACAGATGCGGACGTCAAAATAAGGATAGGAAAAGCAAGAGCAGCCTTCCAACAACTCAAGAATGTTTGGGTCTCTAACAACTTAGGCAGCAAGTTAAAATTAAGGATTTTTAACGCTATGGTAAAACCTGTGCTGCTATATGGAGCCGAGACATGGAGAACAACGGCCGTAAACCTGACCAGAATCCAGTCCTTCATCAACAATCAGACATCAAGAAAATTGGCCATGAATGGAAGATCCTGGAGAAGCTGGCCCAGGATAGAGATGCCTGGAGGTCTCTCGTAGGTGGCCTATGCCCTTGGAGGAACCGCAGACGCCGACGATGATCGGTGGATGCCCCTCATGGACGAGAAGGCTCAACATCTAGCTTGCAACACATGTTCCGTGAGAATTTGATCCCAATGGGGCTACAACCCTGTGACTCTCAGAAAATTCCCATTGTCTTTCCACCAATGCGCTGGGAACAGCCACGCAAATCAAGCCCAACGTTTACCAAGGACTCGTACATCATCAATTAGTCATTTGATAATGTTGTACCAATTTAATGATAGTTTCATTTGATGCCCCCAATAGACTTCTAATGCCTCTTTCAGATGACTGCCGTGTTTCTAGTTCTCGCCAAGCGAGAAAGCACTTCCTATTACTACTGCTTCTCTCATGTTCTGGGATGCGAATACGTAATATTCGTCACTTTTGAGCTGCTAACAATTTTTTCTGTTGATGCAAGCACAGACTTGGATGATGAGATAATGCTGCAACATAACTTGTTCTACAATAATTGACAAGCAAAGCCAAATAATGCTTGTTCAACTTCACTACAAAGAAGTCAATCTCGGTCATGTTTTTCACCATTTAAACTTCAATATGTTAGAATACTTTCGGGAAAAAACCTGATTACCTTTATCTTTGGGAAAATGTTTTAGGAAAGCCAGTATGCACTTAAGTAAACAAGGCTGTTAATGTCAAACAAAACTGCATGGTGGGTTTTCTATTTGAAGAATATATCCAACTTTTATTTTTTTTTTTTAATTTGGTTGTGTAAAAAAAAAAAAAAAACCTTTATGGGCCCCGTAACATTGTACCGGCTGCATCCCCTCTTCTCAGGCCTGCTTGTCCCTCAGGAAAGCGAAAAGAGGAGGTTTTTTTTTACATTTTAAAATCTTATTGTTGAAGGGGTCTGCCATAAGGATGGACGGCTTTTCAAGAACTATGTAATGAGTCATTAGGTTGTGGGGATGATAAGTTACAATGAATGTAAATCTACCACCATTGTCAGAGGGGATTTCTTTAAATGTATCCTGTCTGCTCAGACCTTTATATAGCGTGACAGCATCTTCTAAATTGGGCTCAGGATATAATCTAGAACAAGAAAAAAAAAAAAATTCTGCCGTTCTTTCTCAAAAAAAATCCTCGTTGAACTCATTGCTCTGTTAAAGATAACTACTGTAATAATTTGTTAAAAAATATAATAATTTTCTAAAAACCTCTTTATTTCGTATCTATGGAGTTCAACCCTTTTAATGGGGAACTCCGATTCTGCCAGGGTACCTACCCACTTGGAAAGCCACTTATTATTATTTTTTTTAAAATGTTCAAGTATTGGATTTTAACATTTTATTTGAAAGAGTTGTAGATCCTAGAAATAGCTAAATGTAGAGGGCGCCATTAAACGTCTTCCGTTGGCAGCCATCTTGTAACCACCGCCGAAACTGTAGGCTGTGGGTAACAATATAACTACGAAGTTTGTTTAAAAATTAATTTGTCTAAATATGGCACAGTATATACAGGTAGTCGAGGACGAAAGCGACGAACCTGTTGAAATACCAAGTGAACCTGACGGCACATTACTATTGACGACACTTTCCGCTCAATTTCCTGGAGCTTGCGGTTTGAAATACCGGAATCCCGACTCGGGAGCTTTCCGCGGTATTCGACTTGCTGATGGTGTATTGCACCCCCCAGATGGAGTTTGGGGCAGTTATCAATACTTAGCAGTATTCCCTAAAGGTAGTTTGTATATTTTTTGTTTCAACGATTACATTAGAAATTTTACTAGCCATACTTATACTTGTACAATCATGTTAATGTTAAAAAAATGGTACAGCACTGCAATCTCCACAAATGAGCATGCCACAAAAAAAGACCACATGTCAACATTTTGGCTTGGCATTAAATTAGTTAAGTCTAATCATTAAGGGTAGGCCTAGCAGCTGGTAAGGTAAAACAGTGCATTTTAACATCCAGTGTTTCTATACTATAGTCCTAAAATGTAATTCAGGGGTGGCCAAATTTTAGAAATATTTCCTGCTGGGCCACACACCTAATTTTTTTTTTGTCATGCTACAGCTTCGACAACACAGTGGCTTCCCATTAGGTGAGATCGTGGTCAAACGCTTGCCTGGTTTAAAGTAAAAAATACAAGAAATATGGAAGAAAATAAATCATAACAACCGCAAATAGCCGCCCTAAGTCAAATATATTTTTTAGACAATTTAAAAAAAATTTTGATAGTGAGACACCTGACTTTGTTTTGCTGAACTAAATGGAGACTGTCTCTGACTTTGTTTTGCTGAACTAAATGAATGCATCTGATCTCGACTGATGTAGTAGCTACACGCATGCAGTTTTGCAAATGAAGAACATCAGTAATTCGTGTTCTCTCTTGTGATTTGATGTGCTCCATCTGTTAACGCACATAAGTGTTTCCAAATATTAAACCATCGACAGAGCATGCTTGTAAAATGCAGGATATTTATCCTTTTTCCTTGTCCAAATATGTTTTATAAGAACTCTTCCAAACCAATTTGATGAAATCAGACCTGTTTACTCTTACAATTTTGGCGTACAATGTGCGATTTTTGCAGTGTATACATCATTTATATTGTGTTTATTTTAATATTAAGATAATGTATTGAACGATTTTGTGATGATATTGTACGATTTTAAGAGTTTGAGGATAAACAGGTCTGATGAAATATGATCATACATCTTTTTAATTAATTGATCTTTTCCTTGTAGACAGGTATTAACATAATTTTGGTGGCTAGTTATATCGACAAATGCTTAGTCGCAAACCCACTCTTGGTCTTAAAACTCTGGGATTCTTATGGACTTTCTTTCAAAGAATTATTGCGTTTCTTGCTGCAAATCAAACACTCATTTCAACATTTTACATCAGCATAAAATGTAGCGTTATTGTAATCTGAGTCCAAAGACTTTAGAAATTCTTGAAACTCGTGGTGATTTAACCATTTTAACTTAATGAAGCTCACTATTGACAACCACTTTCATGACATGTTCCATAAGAAATTCTCTTGCTGCAATTAAAATTTAGCTTTGAAGTATTGCCAACTTTGGAGGCCTCATTTTCTATCTGTTTTACTAAACCTTTGGGTTTCCCAACCAATGCTGGAGCACCATCCGTTTGTTAAGCCCGATATGTTGTTAAGGTGGTAAGTTGTAACGAAAAGTAATTCAATGTCGATGCAACTGGCTCTACACAAATCTTGTGACTTAGTAGTGTCCTTGAGTGGATACAGTGCCGCTAATTCTTCTATCTTTTTAAAATGGACATCAACACCCCTGATACAAATTGCCTGTTGTGCAGTATCCGCCATATCTATGCTTTCATCCAATGTAGAGCACAAAATATAAACTCGGATGCTTGACTTTTCAAGTTATCTTTAATGTTTTCCAATGTCGTCCACACGCCAAGCAATAGTCCAACGAGACAGTTTTATTATTGAGAAATCCTTCTTCTTTTCTGGACGCAGAATTTCAACTACGCTTCCCAAACATTCCTAAACCATTTCACCACCTGAATATGGCTTTGATTTTTTGCTAGTATCATGGCTACTGCATGTAAGATATTTCAAATTGCTCTTGTCTATAATTTAAAAAGGTATGATATCGACTCATGATGTAATGGGCTTTTGGTGATATGTACAATGAAGTTAACATTAATGTTCATTTGACCTAGCTCAGGGGGCCGTAACATGACCACTCACGGGGCCGCATGTTGGCGACCCCTGATCTAATTAAAAACACTCTTGACACAATTTAAAAAATTGAAGTAACTCACTGGTCGGGTTGAGCCCTTGATGTAGGTTGTTAATCAAAGCAAGGTAGACTGTTTTATGGGAAATGGGCTTGGGTGCAGAAGAATCCAAGTTTTTATCTTTCTTCACATTCACTTATAGCATTCAGTCATTTAGGCAAAATAACATTTACATTTCGAATTCCTAATGTTGTTTTTTTAAATTTTACAATGGATCCAACTTGCCTATAATTACAATTGGGTTTCTATTTTATTACGTATTTATCTACATAGTGCCAATTTTCAAGGTATATGACTTGACTATGAATAGTAGATGTGTTATGTGTTAGTTTTTTTAAAAAATAAAACCTAATTTGTTAATTTTTTATTTTAATAAATTTTATTTTATGCTGATCTGACATTTTGACCAGTGACAGGCTGTTATAATAGGATCTGCATGTTCACCTAAATATTGATATCTATAGCAGATACAAGTCTGCAAAACAAAGTGACAGCAGATTGCAATATAAACGTCAATCTGCTTTTTACATTCAGTTACCTTTTTTGACATCAGTAACTCAATTCCACTAGACATGCGATGCAAATAGTTACATTATATATACTGTATTGTATGATTTTGAGACAAGATTGTACGAGTTTGAGAGTAAATAGTTCTGCGATTCTAAGGAAATATTCAATTTTAAACTATTTAGATTGAAAAAATTGTGATAAATGAACTTGAAAGCATTTAAAAAAGAATGTTAATTTCATGTTTAAAAACCTGGTAGAGTCCATATTATAAATTATCATAATAATTCTATGTGTTGTTCTGTTTTCATGGTCACTCTTTTTAAATTTAGCTCTATTCAATGCTTGTTGGACAATAAGTGCCATCAACATCTGTCCATCACATTGAATGTTATTGCCATTGTGTTTAAACACTCTCCCTAACAACATACTTAAAATACATGATTTGTGCACTCATATACATTTTGAAGTTAAATCTTTATCTAGTTATTGCCTTTTCTAAGCTGCCTTCTTTAACTCTAGGAACAGAATTATTTAAATTTCATCTTAATTTCTCATCTGGATCATCATAAAGCACTGCTAATTTAAACTGAATCTTAGATTCATATTATAATAAATAAAATTTCATAGCCCTTCGTGCAAAAGTAAGGTTTCTAATTCTTTTAGTGTGCCAAAGACATATGAGCCCACCTCAAAGTACCTTTTTACTTACCATATAAAGTATTAGCAGATGTTATTCTCTGTTACAGCTTTCAATTTAACACAGGTCAATGTATACATATTGACACTGCCCTTAGTAGATAATATAGACATCCCACAATAAATGGACTGCCAAAAATGATTGGTGGGTGGTGAATAGACCAAGAAAACTATATATTTAATATAAAAAAAACACTAAAAAATTAGAGCTTTTATTGTTAACGTTTTTTTACCAAATTTTCCAGTAAAATTCTTTATGTCGTGAGGTTATGACTGCGTCAAATTTGGTGGTGATCCATTATTTGGTTAACAACTAAACCTGTAATTCATATATACAGTATATGTTTTTTTATTTGTTTTGGTCTTCCGCACACTGCTTAGGTTTACATAGACTACGAATATAAAGTTTTACACTAACCTAGTTTTTAAAGCCAAAGTAAAACAAATCAAACTACTGGGCTCTTATTGTGGTGAAATAAGGTTCCTCTTTATAGTCTTGGTGGTAGAAATATTTCAGAGATCTAGTATTATTAACCCATGAAAGGCCTATGCAAATGATTATTTATTTTCTTCAAGAAACAATGGTGTAGCCTGGGTGGATTGTTAAAAAAAAATCAACTGTTCCATGCAGCAGATCCCCTCACCCAAGGACCATCTTAAATATTATTAACTTACTCTAAGGAAAATTTATTTTAGACATGGTACTGAAGGCTGAAGGAACATAATTATCAACCATTGCACTGTGTATTAATTAAATGGTTGTTATTACACTTGAAAATAGAATAACTCAACCTTTCCTTTTTGTGAAAAGATAAAGGGAGATTTAAAATATGACGTAAACAATATATCATCTTTTCAACTTTATACATAAATATAATTTTCAGAAAACAAGCGTAAAGGGGAAGATGGCTTTGATAATCCAGCTGCTAAAACTAAAAGATTGGAAAACCTGAAGTGTTCAGACCTCATTGTCCTTGGTCTGCCATGGAAAAGCACAGAAGACGACTTGACAAAATATTTCCAACAATTTGGTGAACTCATTTTAGTTCAGGTAATCATTCATAGATAAATTATAAAACTTAGGCTTTTAAAAAGTATCATGTGAAAATATTATGTTTTAAACGATGATTGGAATAACATTGAACCAGTTTACATTATATTACTTAAACTGAAAGAATATAAATTGTATTTAAAAGAGGAGATTTAATTTCTCATAACATACAGGTTAAAAGAGATCCCAAGAGTGGTCAGTCTAAAGGTTTTGGGTTCATTCGATTTGTAAACTATGAATCTCAAGTCAAATGCTGTGCTCAGCGTCATATGATTGATGGCAGGTGGTGTGATGTTACTATTCCTAATTCAAAGGTAAAGAACCTTAGTTTCTATTGTATATAGATATTTTGGCATACATTTGGAATTTAGAGAATATTTCAGGTGAGAATAGTAGCAGCTTTTCATAAAGACAAAGCAAATTAATGCTTTGGGAGGAAAAAAAGTCAATAGCAGGGCCTCATAATTTTAAAAAACTCATTTTAAAAAAAATGTATTTCTTATTTCGCTAGTCTTTATCTTTTGCGTCTTTTAATTAATACACTTAAAGTATTTAAAAGATAATACTATTACATAGCATAGTTTTTTTAATTTTAAACCATTATTGATAGATTCCTTTCTCAAAACATGAGCCCTTCTGGTCAATTTAAAGTTTTTGCAACCTTTGGATATTATTTTATTGTAACAGTTATGTGACTTAATAACTTAAAGAAAAAAATAACAGTTATGTGACTTAATAACTGTTATTTTTTTTCTTGATACATAGAATGGCCTTTTTTATATCTTACTATATATTTATAGGTATGATTGATAGACTGATTGAAATGTTTACTGCACTTATTTAATCTTAGAGGATATTGAAGCAGCAAAAAGCTGTCTTATTGGGTATATACATTTGAACGTGTGTTTTCTGAATTTCTGTGGCTAAATTTTTTGTTGTATGATGATTGACTGTTGTGCAGACAAGAGCGAGTAAGCAGTAATATTGAAAGGTGTGAAAATGCTTCCCTTCCCATTTATGAATAGCTAGCTAAAGCAAATTGATACACAGGTCACCTTTTTGCGAAACGTACTAGTTGAAATATATGATTTCTTCAAATATCCATCAATCAATGAAGTCACAGTTGTCAAGTAGAGGACTAATAAAATTTTTTAAACTCCTAACTTTGCTCAGTCAGGTGATGGCTGGGATCAGAAAGCCCAGCATTCAGTGAGTTTTTTTTTCTCCTTAAAGCAAATCTTATATTAGTATACATTAAATTTGTCTTTGAATTGGAAAATGAAGGTAGTCAATACTTCTCATTCTACATTTAAGCTCATATCTTTCCTGCTCATATTGTAGGCTTTGTATACAGTGGAACCTGAGACTAAATGTGCAATGTGTGTTGTAAAAAGCTTTAATGGATTAACAAACTTGAACCATTGTCAAATATAGCATTATGTAACTAAAATTTAGCATGCTTTTCACATATTTTAAATTTTTTAGCCAGTTTTTTTAGTTACACTAAAAGTGTGTTATTTTAAAAGAAAAGTTGAATTTTATTTTAAAAGAAAAGTTGAATTGTATTTTAAATTTGGCATAAAATTATTGATTTTTAAACAGTATAGTGTAATTGAAACCACTTGACAGTGTGTTTAAATGTGTAATATACATCTACGTGCCAAAACTGCTTATTTTTAGAACAGATTTTATTTAATAGTACATTTTGTCTAAGTTAGAATCGAGTTCTTGCTTTTCTTCTAGTATAGAAGTGTGAAATAAAATATCATGGCCTTGGATAAATTTTAAATGAATGCTCATTTAAAAGTTTTAGCTAGTTATTTTAACAAAGAACCAAATTTCATTGTATAGTTTTGAAATTGCAGAATGTCAAGATAATTATTTTTTTTATTAATTCTTAGACATTTGATACATGTTTCTATCGGCATTATGAAACGCCATCCTTTATGATTTAAGTGAGTTATATTAAAAGTAAAGTGTTTTAGCTTTAGTTGGTTCCACTGTTTACAAACTTTTGTTAATGGTAGTAAAATAAAAATTGCCCGAACAAAGCAAAGACACTGTGTTCCCCCACTTCCAGCACCACAGATCTTCATCCTACCACCAAGGCTACAACTTTACCCCTTATGCGAACCAAGGAGCGGGCAACTTTTCCTTTTCATCTGGGTCTGGTTATGATGATGGTGTAGATGGAAATTACCATCAGGTTTGTAGCACTCTTTCTTTGTTTCCGTCAAGAGGAAAGGAGCTATCAGATTATTAAAAAAAAAGAGGCTGGAACTTTTCTTCTTTTTACAAAAATATTTTATAAGAAAAGTTGGCTCTTGAAATCATGTTGAGGATTTTTTTTTCTTCAGTTTCTTTGTGAGTGGATAATAAATAAGCATCTAACAAAATGTTGGGCTATAGTTGCAACTTGTGTTTTTTTATGCCTTTTGGAAATTTAGTGTCAGAATAGTATATTTGTTAACTTATAGTCATGTCCATTGGTTGGATGTTGTTGCATGTGACCTTTTTGGGGATTGTTTGTAGCAGAAAATGCTGAATGTAACTATGTATTGTTAGTGGGAGACACTATTGAAAGTTATAATACAATTTTTTTCTTTGAATCTTAATTTAAAATTAACTTTTTTAAACTCTTGTTTTATATAGTATTGACTTGTTAGTTTTAACCTACCTATTATTATTTAATTCAGTAGTCATTGGAGACTTACCTTTTCAACACATGTGGCAGCAACTAATTTTCTGTCAGCTTGTTCAATTTATAACAATTCTTGCTGTAGATTTTTTGTAAAAATGTAATTTTAATAAATTAAAATAAATCATTATTTGAACTGTAACAAGGTTAGGCGCTGCCTCTCACCGACAATGTTCTCATTTCAACTAATAATAGAGTGCAGTGATGAACACAGGTAAATTTGATTTTTGACTGATGGTTAAGAAATGGAATGATTTTTTTTTAAGTACAGGTGAGAAATGTTTTATTTATAAGAATATCTGATCTGATAAAATAATGTGGATTAAGAATACTTAGATTACATTTTACCTTGTCAGAATTTCATTTATTTACAGTTAAAAGATTTTAGCTATTGTGAGGGTTTTTTTAACAGTTAGCCATCTGTCATTAGTGCCAAGCAAAGGGGGAAGTTATAATTTTCCAGTGTCTTCCACTAAAATATAGAGTGAAAGTTAATCTATTTAAAATTGTGAGAAAGAGGTTTTATGATTATTAGGATGTGAATGGTTTTAATGGTTGTTATGTATGTTATCAAGCGTTGCATAATTCACCATAATTCTATTGTCTTTATTTTAAAAAATGACAGAAGAATAAGTTGTAAAATGTGGAATTGAATCTTTACAAATGATTTTAAGTGTTGTTTTTCCATGATGTATTAGAATTCACATTAGTTTATAGATATATTTCTGAAATGATTAAGATAGGATTTTTTAAAATTTGTTAATGTCATTGATCTTCCATTCAATAGATGTAAATTCATTTTTTTTTTACTTGCCTTACCCCGAAAGTGGTAAATGGACAAATTTTTTAAATAGAAAAATTAACTCTATTTGGTGTTTTTCCACATTGAGCAAAAGACATTTTCTTAATGCTTTTTCTTAGGAGGGAAACAACCAAATGATGAACCGCAAAGTTTTCATTGGTCGTGTTACTGAAGATATCAGTGCAGAGGATCTGAGAAATTACTTCAGCAAGTTTGGTGAGGTAGTTGATGTGTTCATCCCCAAACCTTACAGAGCCTTTGCTTTTGTCACTTTTGCTGATGCAGAGACAGCCCAGGCTTTATGTGGAGAGGACCACATTATCAAAGGTGCAAGTGTTCATGTCAGCAGCGCTGCTCCAAAATCTTTTGATAAGGTATGATTTTCCATGTATGATGGTTCTAATATTTCCTTAAAGGTATATAAATATCATATTGAAGTTTCCTATTTAAGATTCATTGATTGCCACATGACCATTCATATTGACTAATCTTTAATTGCCTTAAAGAAAAGTATATATTTTGAAAGAAAAAAATTAAGACGTTGTACAAATAATTTTTAAAGAATGCACAATTTTTTCATGAGTAAAGAATAGAATGTTTTTGGGTGCTACTTATTTATTATTAATTGTGCTATAAGCATTTGTTTATATTTTCAACTGTGTTTCATTATTTGCACTAATTTTTATTTCAAGTTTAAATAATTTTGGTTTCCCATTTCAATTAGCATTGCATTAGGTATTCTAAATGAACGTTTTATAATGAAATAAAGTAAAATTCAACTATTCCCCTAATTTAGAGCTTGGCTTAATCAAAATAGGACCACCAATTTTAACATTAACTCTCTATCTCTAATATTAAGAAAGTTATGCATTTTTTAAAAACTTTAGATGACTCGTGTAGTTTTGACACCCACAATCTTCTAAAGTAACTAAGTTGGAACCTTCAAATCTCTTGCACACACAGCCAGTTATACATATAAGAAACTCAATTTTTTTCAGGGTGGTCACGAAGATGTAAATAAAAAAATATATGAAAACAGAGATAAAATGACAATTTTTGTTCATTTTAAAAAAAGGCCTACAAAATTAATCAAATTAGATGAATAATTTTTGGAAAACGTTTATTATTGTGTAATTAACCCTCCAACTTTGGTCGGCCGATTTCATAGTAATAACTTTATAATGCATTATAAATGCAAAAATGCCCATTTAACTATATTTTATCTTTAAAAAATATATAATTTACAGCTAATCTTTCAACTGGAACAAAAAGCCGTAATCCCAGGATTAGCGCATCATTGTGTTTTAGAAAAATGTGTTTTTCTCAAAATCAATCTAAAGTGACTTAGCAGGGTTTGCAATTGGACTCCTCAATTATCTCAACTAAGCACGATCACACACAATAAGAATTTTAGAGAATTTTTTCAAAAATCACAGAAAATTAACCAAATAAGTTCTTTAAATAAACTTTTCACCATATTGTAAATCCTTGTCATGTTTTTATTTAGAAATAGACAGACTCAGATTAAAAATACAAATAATGCTTTAGAAATATCTTTTAAAAAGGTACTTTCAAACCCAACATTGAGTTTTTCCTACATATTAAATTTTTATTTAAAATTGATTTAGAAAGCTGCAATTCAGTACTGATAATGAAAATTGTATGAAAAAGTAGATAAACCCCAAAGATAAGTTATTTGAAGTTTGCTGCCTTCATTTGCATGTCTGTAAGGGTTTAGAAACATTTCCCTACACCAGTTTAACAATGTTACAAATTTCTGTAATATGTACACCAAAAGCCAGTAAAAAAAATATTTTATTAGTATCAAATTGTATTTATTGTATGATTTTAATTTTAATAGTTATTAACTTGCATTTATGATTATGTCATTGCTAGCTGTATTTTTAAAAAAATGCACAAATAACTAATAATATTACTATGGGTACTACTAACCTGTACCAGTTTGGGACTTAAGCCATTGGTCTGAGTATTCTTGTTCTGTTGTAGTGATATCTGTCTCAAGGTCTTAAAATGTTTTCAGTTTCAGCCACATGTTAAAATTAAAACTCACAAGTTTACAAGGTTTTAACTGCCTCCCGTTTGCAAAATAAATAATGCATACCGGTATATAGTTTATAATTGTAGTTAGTAAAAACTCGCTGAGGTTAACTTTGGAATCAGAACTTTACAGGGGGGGGGGGATATTATGTAACTAATTTTTAAAACTAGCTTTATAACCTAGAAAAGTAGAAAAATAAACATTGCATCACTTTCTTATACATCATACCATATAATTAAATTTATAAAATGGATTAGCAATCGAATTTATTGTTAAATTATGAATTCATTAAAACTAAAGCATTCCTTTTACCTGGTTAACTTTGGAATCAGAACTTTACAGGGGGGGGGGGGGATATTATGTAACTAATTTTTAAAACTAGCTTTATAACCTAGAAAAGTAGAAAAATAAACATTGCATCACTTTCTTATACATCATACCATATAATTTAATTTATAAAATGGATTAGCAATCGAATTTATTGTTAAATTATGAACTCATTAAAACTGAAGCATTCCGTTTACCCTCGGCATTAATGCTTCGCTACCAGTTGATAACTTTCATGATCTATTACGCTTTCTGAACAATTTTGCATTGCTATAAAATAAACATCATTAAATATTTAAACATTTGATGGAACTAATTATATCTTCTTTTTTTTTTTTTTTTCTCCGCTGTCGTTAATTTAAATACAGACTACTTTAAAATAAAGTTAGATCGTCATTTGGCGTTAACATAAACACGCATTTGTTATCAATAAGCTCACATAAACCAAATATATGAAATAAAGAGCCTTTCAATATAAATTAAAATTCCAGAAGGAAACAATAATGTTTTAACTTAAATATTTCCGTTTCAATCCATGAAAAGGCACTAAATTTAGAAATTCATAGATAAAAGTAGTAATTATATACTGGCTTGACCAATTAGAATTCGCCATGTCTTGTGTGTCTTGCACTTTTTTTTAGCAGACTTAGTTGACTTTGTTCCAAGCCTTTGTGCATGGATACCATAAATGGGGTGTTCACACAATTATAACAGTTTTAGAATACCTAATTGTAGGACCCTATTTTTAAAGCCTCTTACCGGTAGTTTTTTTTTTTGCTCTTTTAAGGAAATTTTAAAAATGTGTATCTTATTATTGTTTCCTTTACTGTTCCTCTGAGACATTGACGCTTTCATTTTCAAATTTTATTTTACAAGGGATCTGACAGAAAAGGCTTTGGACAAGGTGGAGGCAGCTATAATCAAGGAGGTGGTGGCTGGGGTCAAGGTAGAGCTGCTGCACCTGGACCTGTAGGTGGTAAGGTGGCAAATAATGCAGATGGTCTTGGAGGAAATCTTGGTATGAATCTTCTCAACTCTGCAATGCTTGCTGCTGCGCAGGCTATGCTTCAGAACCAGGGGGGCTGGGGAGCCTTAAACCAGGGTCCATCTCAAGGTGGCAGTGGGGGGAATATGGGTGGAGGTGATCATCAGGCTCCTCCACCAATGGCCCCAATATCCAATCAAAGTGGTTTTGGCAGTATGGGTGGGGGTAGTGGTGGAGGTGGGGGTGGCTCTGGTGGAAATTGGTGGGGAAATGAAGGAAGCTCCTCTTCAGGAGGTCATTATGGTGGTTGGGGTGGCTCTCATGGTGGAAGAGGAAGCGGAGGATGGAGTTAAGTAAAATGGGAGAGTTGTAACTTTTAAGAGAGTTTTCAACCGTCAGTGTGAAAGCTATTGAGTCTGTGCGCCAGAGATCGAGATTTGAATATCTAAGATAGTTGAAATTTTTTTTTCTTCTTAAAGTGAAAAGTTGAATGTGTGGGGCGACTGTTAAGAAATCATCTGAAGTAATTTTAAAAAGTTAAATTATTTTGTTACATTTTTTCATTCCTTTCCCCCCACTTCCTCATTATCTTGAGAAATTGTAAATTAACATGGTTATAAATTCATAACTATCCTTCCAAACTTCAATCTCTAGGCAGGCAAGGTTTATCTCACAGATTTTTTTATTTTCTTGTACATAATCTTGAACTCTTCTATTTACATTTCTATCAATTGATGTATATGTTGTCAAAATTGTTTGTAACAGTTCACTTCCATTTTTTTAAAAGTTAAATTTGGGGGATGATTTAAATAGGCTCATTTGAGTTTCCAGCCTGTTGCACTGTGAATTTTGTCTTAAATTCAATCACTTTTTATTCTCCAAAGACATCATTTAAAATTCATATTTTTGTTTAAATACCTTTTGTATGATTTGATATTGCAATGTGGGTTGCTTGATTGATTAGTGTGATTTGCAGATTTTATTTTCAAGATATTTTTAGGCATGACAGATTTAGCTTTTAAAATGCACATGTGCGCCGTTCATTGTGCGAGAGTTGCTGCTAGTTTTGTGCGTGCAACTGTTCCAGACTCTTTTATCTCCTCACAAGTGATAGATCTGAGTGCAGAAAGAAACAAAGTTGAAAGTAGACCCCTTTCTTTGCAATCTGTTGAGACAAAAATTTGAATGTGATTTAGTTCAGAATATGTAGTTGCAGTGTGAAGAAAGTGAGACATAAAATCAATTTTTTTTGCAAGTTTGCCTTTTGGGAGTGATATGAAAGGTTTCACTACGAATGCTATGACATAAGGAAACTGAAGACCATTTAAATCTCCCAAAAGCCTGAAAAACTAGAATAAAGACTCACTGCAACATTAGAAATACAATCTCAAATCCCATTACAAGCTTAAATGGTAAGCAATTGATCAAGCAATCCTTAGATATTTCAAATTAAATATTAGTTTCACTGATTTTATTTAGAGCTTTGAAGTTAGAGTTATATTGTATTTTAAAAATGCTGTGTTGTATTGTTTAAAAAAATGCAAGATGTTCCACGTGTCATAGGAACCAAGCAAATTTTACATTTCTTTGTGCATTTTGTCCCTACATTGTTTTATGATTTGTAAAATGGCGGGGGGGTAACCAAAAGATAACTATTAAATGGTCTTCAATGATTGTGAGACTGCTGTTAAATGATTTATATTTGTTGTACTAGTGAAAAGATCACAGAATACATGTGGAAGTCTGCAAAGCTGTTTTAGACCAGGCAAATAAATTATGTCTCACATAAAAGAATTTTATTTACTGGTAACTAAAAATTGCCAATGATGACTTGTGATTACAGTAGCTGTGCTCTTTTCATGAATATGTTGTTGTTAATTAAAAGAACCGAAGTAAAAGTGGTGGTGATTTTGTGAACATGGTGGAGAGGAGAGGTTGGCATATGATGATGATGAACGTTGAATGTTCAAGTGTCGGAAAACCAGAGAGGGGGGGGGTGTTATATTTATTTTAAAGTTATGATTTGACTACCAATAAGAAGAGAATATTTTTAAAAAACATAAAATACTATCAATCTTAAAGATTTGTAAAAAAAAAAAAAAAAAAATTTGTTAAGTCACATCACTTAATCACACTACCACTACCATTTATTTTAAAATTATGATTTGACAAACAATAAGAAAAAAATATTTTTAAAAAACATAAAATACTATCAATCTTAAAGATTTGTAAAAAAAAAAAAAAAAAAATTTGTTAAGTCACATCACTTAATCACACTACCACTACCATGAATAAATTATCCACAATTTTGACAGCATTAAAAGAAAGACTATTTTAAAGAATGGTAGACAAGCAAAAAATCCTTGCTTATAACTATCCCTGTTACAAAAAAAAGTATGAGGAACTCATATTGATAACAGGAATAGCTACTGGTATTTCGAAGCTTAGTATGTGCCCTAAAAAAATTACATTTAGAAATTATGTATAACACGAAATGCGCAAGGGAACAAAAAATGCACTGATTCATTTCAAAATTCTAAGATTTTGAAAATATCGTAGCTGAAGCTGAAAAGTTGAGTGACAGCGGCTGTGATTTTTGTTTATGGAGATGTAAAGATGACTGCATGGTATTGAATCTGAAGGTTAGTCTGCAAGAATCCGCAATATTTTGGAGTAGTCTGCAAGATCTTGAAACATGAGGCGAAGTTTGGTGTATTTGTTGGACCGGTGATATTGTGATTGAGCAATGCTGCACATTGATGTACAATTGAAGTATGAAGTACTTGTATGCTGGGTAAGTTAACAGTTCTAAAAAAATTTTGGCTGGATTGGTGGGACATTTTTTTTTTTTTTAAATAATCAAATTTAGGATGTACAAAATTCATTTAAAGTATTGGTACTAGCTCTGCTGTCTGTATGGCAAATTTCCTGCCTTTTTTTTTTATTTTGAGGGAGAATTTCTCAGAATTAGCCTTAGTTATACAATAACTTGCACTGTAGTGTGAACTTAAATGACCAGAAATGAAGTTAAGTTTTATTTGTGACTTCAGTTTTAGTTAGAACTAAAATGTCACTTAATAGTGATAAATCTATAGTAATCTCATGTTTTTATGGGTTTTTGCCTATGTACTCATGTGAGCGGTATAGCAAAAACAACAAATAGATATTAATTCATATTCTAAAGGTGTTCTGAGCTTGTGTTAACACATTGACATCCAGCTCCATCTACTTGGCAGCGCCATACATTTTATCAACATAGGATTTAGCTTGCCTAACTAAAAAAATAAAAGGCTTGATTTCAATTTGTTCATAAATTTTTTTCATTGCAATGATGTAAAAGGAAAAAATTCTACATGTTTTCCTTGTCAAAATCCAGTGCTCATGAGTTATTGCCCTTGATTCTCAATTTATCTGATAGATAATATATCCGCTTTCTTGTCTTTTTGAAATGATAATTGTGTCAGGATGGGGTATCAATTTAACGTCTTTGAAGTGGTATTTTGCGCTATTTTTTTCACCATGCTATTGATTTATCAACTTGTGTCAACTAACTCATCCAAATTCTATTTCCAAAGTTTTAACTCTGGCAAATATTTCAAATAGGCATACTGCAACATTGTGCATTCCGTTACATTTAAGTAAAAAGCTAAAACCCTTAAGGCTATATTTGTTAAATAATAATTGCCCTTTTAAAGGGTAAAACTTATCCTATTATATATACTGAAAGGAGAGCTAATCCCTATGTCCATATCAATATTGTTATCAGAATGGAATTACAACTCAACCATTACTTAAAACAAGATATCGTTTTAAAATTTGTGGTTGAGAAAATATCATTTTAAAATGTGCGGTTGATGCAAGTGATGGTTTTAATAGTCTTTTTTTTTAATTATACAATATTTGTATTGGTTTACTATCATGTTTTAATGAGTTTTATTTCTTTTAACAGGTGTTCTAGATTATAGAGTTCCTAAAGCAATCGATGTTTAGCTGAATTCATCTTTTACAGTTTTCGACACACTGAGCTGTCAATCGAGATCTGTGTAATTTCACTGTGAGATCGTATTAAAGACTGGTCTCACTTTCAGATTTCCCAGATAAGTCGTTTGAACAGTTATTTGAAGGTAAATTTCTTTAAGATTCATCCACTATAAAAATTGTATTTGATAAGTACTGTTAATTTCATACAGTCTCGATAGTCATAGGAAGAGGTAGGTATTTCTTTGTCTTTTCTAAAAACTGCCATAATCAGACGCTGTTCAACCCACGAATTGTGGCATGCATTATTCTGTGGTGTTAAGCTTTTCAGAGCATTTCGAGTGCCATTTGAAATTGCATTAAATGACATTGAAATATTGATACCAAATAGTGACCCAATAAGTATATTTTTTAGAAAGGTAAAATGGATGGGGATAAAGTTGGTCATATTGCTCACCCTGTAAAAAATAATTGCTCAGTGTTCTTGACCTTGGAGTTCTCAAGAAAAAAAAATCTACAAAATGTCTTGTTTTCAAGTGCTCATAACATCATTAATTTTTATAGATACACTTAAAACACAAATCTGCGGCCGACCACAGTTCGTGGGTTAAATCCCTTTTGATCTGTGAGAATTATGTTGAAAGTAAAATAAGTTAGTATCATGTGAAAGAAAATATTCTTTTCACCCAGAAATTGTACTTAGAGCACTCTCCATGATGTACAAGATAAAAAATGGGCTGGTCCACTGCTCCATCATTAAACAGAAACTCTCCCCCCTATACAGCCACGAGGCTATGACAGGCAGTTCCCGCTCATGAAAACAAGAAGTTGGTACAGGAGCTCCTCATTCCAGCCAAAAACAATAAGGGACTTGAACAAGCTTCCAAAAGAAACAGTTGAGGTGACTACACTTAACACAACTGCTTCTATTGCCTCCTGTCTTTCAATCCCCAGTTCATAATACCATTGCTAAGTAGCCCTTGCAACCAGTGAAGTATCCCCTTCAAAACCATGTACAGTTACATCGTGAACCCCTTTGAAACAGGAGCCAGAATGATCAATACATTGATCAAGTAACCATGAATTGAGAGGAAAGAAATTATTCAGAGTAAAAATATAAATTTTAATTTTAAAAACTATATTATTGGGTCTGTTTTAATTAACCCTATTCAACTTACTGGAATTGGGTTTAGAAACAACAAATATGATTTCGGAACCAACCCAACTTGGTAAAAGTAGGCGGCAACCACTGACAAGCTATTCTGTTTTACATAAATTTGAACGTAGCCTATAGTAGAAACTGGAAAAGACAGAGACTTATCCCAAACTTGTCTTGTGAGATCCAGCTATATGAGCAATGTTCATCTGCAAGGAAAGGATGAATCATCATAAAAATTTTGAATCGCATTTAAGTTTTCAAGGAAGACAGTTGCAAATACCAATATCTAACATTTTAATGATCAAATTTTATAAATTATTATTTTTCATTCTTTTAACTTTAATGACATGATTTGCATTATGAAAATACATGATAGATTATATGGAATTTGAGCCATAAACACTGTCGGGGTATATGAGTTTCTACTGCAGTGCTTTCCAAACTGTGCGGCGACGCAATAGTTTGTTGCATACAGGGTGTAGGTGTGTCATGCGAAAATAAGCCATACCAACTCAAAATCTGGCATTAAAAAGTATTGGAATTGAATTATGAAAATTTATGAAATGGTTATATCTCTTTTGTCTTGATTAGTTTTCTAATTTTAAATTTTGTGAAGAAATTGGGTGATAAGCTGATACCTGGTATCGGATACTACACACAGATTAATTGGCCCTGATAAGGTTGAGTGCTTGTCATTTATATGGATTGAGGGAAATGATGCTTACAATTTTTAAGACAATAAGTCAATAAGCAAAATGAATTTTGTGATCTAATTCAAAACCAACTTTGGTACACAAAATTGGCATATTTTGATGACATTAACTTTAACATACAACTAAAAGTTGAAAGTTTTATCAAAGTTTTGCTATGGGATTCAGAGACAAAAAAGTGATTAGATATGGAAAGTGAAAAAAGATAATCTGGAAAAATATTGCAAAACAGTGGAATGCTTGCTAAATGTGACATTTTGCTAATTGTGGACCATTTGACATTTCTCCAAACAGAAAATTCATCTTTACTTCCCAAAATGCTAAAATTCAAGATTATGATTGAATGAGCAATCTATTTCTTTTTCAACTGAGTGATGTACTTTTCTCTCATTAAAGAAGAAGAATTAACCAAAATAACATACAGTTGAAATCTGCTTATGATGCATTAAGAGTGTATTTTAGCTTTATGGATTTACATTTCAAAATTGCATTCACTACTATATAAATAAAAGGTTTTAATGAGATGTTGTCATCATAAACCCATATGTCTTAAAATGGTTTAGTTTAAACTCTGGTATACCGTACTGTAAAACAAACTGTATGTGTCGCAAAAGGACGTATAATATATCTTAAAATGTGTTGCCAACATAAAAAATTTGAAAAGCACTTTCTGCTGTATAGAGTAGAGATTAAATTTGAACCTTCTCTTAGAAGTTCAGGTTTCGCTTTGGCTTTGTTCGGTAATAGTAATTAATAATAACTAAAGCCAAATTTTCAGTTCAGTAACCTCTGAAATTTTGCTTTAATTTTGGTAATTATCGCAATTTGAATTTTCGTTTGCTTTAAATTCAAATACAATTCAATAAGAAATAGAAAAATAGTACAAGTACAATACAATGAACTGAGGAGAAAAAATTTGAACTCGATGTTTTTCTTCGTTACTTCTTATTTAGTTTTGTCTACTGAAAAGAGCTTTTTATTTTCCTGTCTTTTCATTTGAAGCCAGCATAATAGACTATTCCAAATGGCTTATGAATTTTCTAAGCATAGAATTAGAATGCTAGCTTAGACCTCGTAAACAATGTCTGTTAGTTCTATTAGACTTATAGGATACTGGTACTCAATTCTAATTTTTTTTGTTTTAAAAGGATTTAAGTAGTGGATGAAAAAATATTCAGTACATAATGTTGTTAAATTTGTTGGGCATTAATACAAATTAAGCCTATAATTATAATATAGGCTATTTAGGGAAATGATGTTCGCAGAGTAGGGAATGAAAATATAAATCATTTCTGTTTACAAATAATTGGATTTTCTATTTCTATTATTAATTAACATTTTTTAAAAACTTTTTGAGTTTGTAATTTGTGATGTAGAAGTTCAGGTTCATTCATCAGCAGGGTCGGTGGGGTGATAGTTCCAGATGTTATTGTGATACTGGTACTTCAGACCTGTTTACTCTTACGATTTTGGCGTACAATGTACGATTTTTAGATGTCTTTTACGATTGTACGCCGAGACCCGCCAAAACTACGATTTTCAGAGACCCACCCGGTGAACAAATATTTGTGTCATTTTGTCCGATTTAAACAAAAATTAAAAATTTTCGGTTGTGGAAGCTTTAGCCCTTATGGCCCCGCATTGAATGGACCCAGAAAACAACGATGGGTTTTTGTATATTTTTTTATAGTTGGACCATCCTTCATTATATTTATGTACACACTGAAAGGGGAGGTGGCGGTTGTTGATTAAAGAGATTGGTGGCATACCAGAAACACGGGTTGGGGGGGGGGAAGGTGGGAGTTTCAAAAGATATAAAAATATCACCGCAACGCATCCTATTGATGGTGGTGATGGTCTTAGTGTTGCTTTGCGTGTCACAGTGAACCAGCTAGCTGTGTCAGCAGCAATCTTTAGGCTAGTCGCCTGGCAACAACTTCACTCACCACCTCATTGGACTGCTACTGCTAGCAAGCGTGTGTTCGTCTGAACCGCGGGGATTGTGAAGAGAGAAAACTAGAGGTGTGAGATTTAGTCAGTGGCATTAAAAAAAATATTTTAGATCTCGCAAAGCAGCTCTATCCAGAGGCGTAGCGAGCGGGGGCAGGAGGGGACAGATTCCCCGGGCGCCAGCTAGTTAGGGGGCATGTTTCTTTCAGAAATTTTCCCCAGGGGGGAGCACTTCAGATTTTCGGGGAAGGGTTACTTCAGATTTTTCGGGGGTTGGGGGGGGGCAGTGCCAGCAGTTCCAGTTGATTTATTGTTGGACATATTTTTGCTCCTGGGGGCACTTGGCTTTCCCCGGGGGAGGGGCACTGCCCCCCCTCCCAGAGATATAGCTGAAAGAAACCCTGTTTAGGGGCGCCAAAATGTGCTTTGATATTATTTTATTGATGAAAATAATGGGCTTGAGAGTTGAAAAAAAGAAAAAGGGGCACTTTAAAATGGATCTTGTCCCCGGGCGCCAAACACCCTCGCTACGCCTCTGACTCTATCCCCCTCAACGATTTTAATACAATTAAACAGTTTTGTATCACTACTGCTACTACTGCGCCCCCCCCCCCATTTTTGTTTACAGCTTGTGGTAGTTACTAGTCTCTGATACTATAGCAGTGGTCGGCAAGCCGCGGCTCGTCCAGACTGCGGCTGGGCCAGTCAACTACAAAGCGGTTTTTACTCCGAAAAACATGGTTCTTGAAAATAAATTTGGCTCGCAAAATTTGTTTAATGGTCCTGCTGCTGATTTGGGCTCTTTTGACCAATGAGTATGCTGACCACTGCTCTTTAGTATGTGAACGTAAAAACTCAGGGGCATATTGGATAGGCGAGGGCACTATGTTTTTCCTATTAATGAGGGTGGGGGAAGGTGGGTTCGTCACCAGCACGGAAATACGTGTTAGTGGACTAGTGTGTTGTCACTATGTCGTGTTAAATATGACTACTACAGCGACCTCTTTATGAAAACACAAAGCATTAGTATACGGTATACGATAAATGCGAAGCATTGTGGTATTTGTATAGCCTTAATAATAATAATAATAGACCTAATTAGAATTCGTGGATTTCAGATTTTCATGTGACAGTTGGCTCTATAAGAGACTGTCAGGAATCAGGATAATTATTGTAGAATTTATGC